TGCAAGTCCTTACCATATAAATTAAACACTCAAATCTTCATCTTATGTCTGGGTCCGAACCCGACTAGGGGAGGGGAGAAGTGGGAAGTGGCTCCCTCAGGTCCAGTCTTCATTGCCTCTGAGCATCATGCATGTGTTCTATTCTGCCCAAGTCAGTTTACTTTTCCAGTCTCTCTCCCTCTCTTTCTCTGTTTCAGTCTTTCTCTATCTGTCTGTGTCTCTTGAAAGGGCTGAATAAAATACGTGTGTGTCACTTCTTGGAGAGTTGGTGGGATGTGTGTTCATGCCAAGGCACTGCCGTGGGTATTCCCTACCAGGACCAGAACTATAAGCCTACAGACTTGCTTGTGGTCATGGTAATGGGTTTCAGGAATAGGGCACACTGAATAAAAAACCTCTATTAAAATTATTCCATGTTAATTCATGAAGTTTAACCTTGTATGGAGATTGTCTTCCTTTTTTATGTATTCAACTGTAATTGGTCCATATCTGGTATATAATTACTTTATCGTGAATTTTGGGGATTGGAAAAGATTATAGAAAATAGCTTTTCTTTAATTTTGCTGGAGTGATCTTCTATGGTGTTTTATAAACGGGTTTACACTGTAAGTTGCTGTTCGCTTTAGCTGCTGTGTCTATCCATGTAGCAGGGAGAGCAAGCATTTGGTGTATAAAATGATATCTGAGCTCTTTTGGCCTTCTAATTGTGTTAACTGCTTCACAGTAGTTAACATTATTAAATTAACAATATCAATATCTTTTCCTATTTCCATTTCATATTTTTGACACAGATGGCTCATTTGAATAGGTCAGCTTAAAGCCATAACAATTATATGTGGTGACATCTTCTTATATTCATTCTTCTGACAGGAGACTGACTGTTGCTCTTACCAAGTAGTAGAGTGATTGAACCAGACAGCTAACTCTCATAGGAATCCTTTTTGAGTTAACAATCTTTTCCTGTTCCTGTTTGTTAAAATGTAGTCAGTTACTTGTTGATAATGTTCAGTGTTTACCTTGCCCAGAATGTCCCAACTCTTGAGCCTGGAGAGAGTATTCGTGATACATAGAGGTAGAGCCCTGCTATACTTACTGTCTGTAACTTTTGGTCTTTTCCATTTCTTAAACATAAACTGTATTTTCTAATTTTTTTTTCTATCCTTCTCTGTGCCCATATTTGGATTTATGTTGCCTAGTAGTAAAGTATGCATTGGCTTGTTTTGAAGGATCTTGTCAAATTCTACATAGATTTTCTTTACCTCTCCATTCTCTGCAGCACATTTTCAAGCTCAAGTTGCAATTATCTTCATAGTGGCTTTTTTGTTAGTGCTCATTATAAGCACTGCAAGACGAAATGGCTAAGGGTTACTTGAAGTGATGTTTATTGCCTTTGGGTGCAAGATCTGCCAGCTCTTTTATTGACTTCTTCAAGGAGAACCTGTGAGCCTTCCTTTCATTTAGCTACAATTTCCTTTTGTTCTTTGATTTCGTAACATGTAATATCAGTGTAGTATGCCAATAGCATGTTGATCACTAGATAGCACATTTAGAATAATTGTGAACCTAAGCACCCTCTATTAAATATTGAACTGTTGAATGCTGTAAATAAAATGTAAATGCTTCCAGTTTTAATTTTTGTGAGGTAAAGCACTCAGATATGTAATGTGGTATAGTGGGTAGAGGGCCAGCCTTGAAATAAGGAAGGTCTTGGTTCTAGTCCTGCTTTTGACATGTTAGTAGGTGTGACCTTGGACAAATCACCTAATGTCTCAAAAACTGTAGGCAACTCCCTAAGATCATTGTTTATAGACAAATTGTCAATCCTTATTACTGTAGGGTTTTTCCTACTTGATGCGTTCCCTACGCTGATGAAATCACATGTCAAACCAGTTTTTAAAAAAGTAATTGGAATTAAACAACTTATCTGAAAATTTTCCATCAAGCTCAGCTATAATAATCGGAATCTTTGGAGTCTTTGAAATTTCTGAGTTTCTTAAGATATGCCAGTGGTTTTACCATTGATTACAGCATGTACAGTTTTTAAAAGGATGTAGAAGATCTAGACCCTGATTGAGGTACACATCATAATAGATCAGTAAACACTTATTTAATTTTTTATGTGTGAGAATCAGTTAATAAGCATTCATTCAGAGCTGACTATGTGCCCAGAATTGTGTTAAGTATTGTGGCTACAAAGACAAAAATGTGGTGTCTACTCTCAAGGATTTCACACTCTAATAAAGGCAACAACATGAAACTACTTATGTTCATACAAGATATGTGCAGTATAAATAGAAGGTAATTTAAAGGAGAAGGCACTGGTGGGTTTGGGAATAAGGAGAGTCTGGGAAAGTCTTTTTCCAGAAGTTAGTATTTGAGTTATCTTGAAGAAGACCGGGAAGACAGGAGGAGGGAGAACGTTTTAGGTGTGGTAGTCAAAGGCAGGGAGTCAAGAGATGGAGGATCATGTATGAGAAGTAGCAAGTAGACCAATGTAGCTTGATCATGGGGTATATTGAGAAGAATAAAGTATACGTTATCATTGTTGTTGTTGTTGTTACTATTATCATCATTATCATTATACTGGAAAGGTAAGAAGGGGTTAGCTTATGAAGGTCTTCAAAAGCCAAACATCTTTGAGATGGTAGGGAGCTACTGGAGATCACTGTTCTTTAGGAAAATCACTTTGGCAGATGAATCAAGGATTGATGGTAGTGGGAAGAGACTTGAGGCAGGGAGAACAATTAGAAGGCTATTGTGGTGGTCTAGGCAAGAGTTGATAAGGGACTCAACTAGGGTCGAGGCTATGTTAGTGGAGAGAGAGGGATCTAGATGAGAGATGTGCATGTACAATATGTGGGAGGAAGGTGAATGAGGAGTCAAGGATGATGCCAAGGTTGGAAGCCTATGTAACTGGTGCCCTAGACAGTAATAGGAAAGTTAAGAAAAAGGGGAGGTTTGGAAGGAAATATGAGTTCTGTTTTGGATATGTTGAATTTGAGGTGCCTTCAGGACACATCTAGTTTGAGATGTTCAAAAGACATTTGATGATGCAGTTCTAAAGCTAAGGAGAGAAATTGGAGCTGGATCTGTAGATCTGGGAATCATGTGCTTAGGGATGGTAACTGAACCTTGTATGGATAGAGCCTTGGGGGAAACCCATGATTAGTGAGGATGATTTGGATGAAGATTCAACAGAAAAGGATCAGTCAGAGGGTACCAGGAAAGAGTAGGGTCAAGAAAACCCAGTGAGGAGAGAGTATCCAGAAGTAGTCAACAGTGCCAAATACTACAAATGAGTTAATAAAGATGAAGATTGAGAAAAGGCCATTAGATCTGACAATTAAGACATTGGTGACTTTGGAGAGAGCAATTTCAAGTGAATGAGGTGGTCAGAGGGCAGTTTGTGGAGGGCTTAAAATGTTAGGAAGTGGAGGAACCTAGTGTAGACAAATTTTTAAAGCAATGTAACCAAGAAAAGGAGGACAGATATAGTATGCTAGCTCGCAGGGATGATCAGATCAAGTAAAGGTTTCTTAAGGATGGGAGAGACAGTGGTGTGTTTGTAGACATCAGGGAACTGATAGGGAGAGGTTGAAGATTAGAAGTGGGGATGATAAATGGGCCAGTCTGCTGGTGCAGAAGGGAGGGAATGAGATTTAGGGTGCATTTTGAGGGCTATACCTTGGCAAGGAGAAGGGACAGCTCTTTATGTGAGACAGGGGTGAAGGAAGAGATTGTGGAGAAAGATGTCTGAATGATGTGAAATGAAGAAGAGGGGGAAAAACGGAGCTCTTGTCAAATGACCTCTGTTTTTGGTAAAGTGTGAAATAAGGTCCTCGGGTGAGTGGGGGGTTTAGAAAGGGGAGGGAGGGAACAAGCATCACTAAGCACCAGACACATCTAAGTGCTTTACATGCAAGGGAGAGCATTGCTGTGTATAGACTTGAGAATAGATGAAAATGTTTAGAAGAGCCACTGGTGAGAAGGATAGCAAATTCAGTAGGGAAGTGTGAAAAATTGCTTAGGGAGTTGAGAGATGAGGTAATAGAGGATAGTGGAACCTCTGGAGTCAGAGGACTAAGGTTCAGATCCCAGCACTACTACTGTTACTACCTTTGTGGCATGAGAGAAATCATTTAACCTTTCTGGTCTCCTCAGCTGTTTTTTTTTTTTTTTCCATCTGTAAAAGTAGATTAAACCAGAAAATAGTAATAATAGCTAACATTCATATAGCATCTTAAGGTTTTGCAAAGCCCCTTACATATGTTGTCTCATTTAATTTTCACAACAGTTCTGTGAAGCAGGTGGTATCCTTATTTTACAAATGGGGAAACTGAGGTTGGGACTCAAATCACTTTAAGTGACTTCCTTGTTCTTCAGTCATTTCAGTCATGTCTGACTCTTTGTGACCTCGCTTGAAATTTTCTTGGCAAAGATACTGGAGTAGTTTGCAATTTCCTTCTCTAACTCATTTTATAAATGCTCAGAGTCACAGAAGTAGTAAATGCCTGATGCCAAATTTGAACCCAGATCTTTCTGACTCCAGGTCTGGCATTCCAGGTAATACACCACCTAGCTATCTATGACTTGCTCATGGTCACACAATTAATGTCTGAGATAGGCTTTGGACTTGTGGTCAGAAAGTCCTAAGTCTGAGATAGGTTTTGGACTTAGGGCTTTGTGACCTCAAGTCCAAAGCTCGATTCCACATAGATGTTTCAAAAGTATCTCTTAGATATCCTTTCTCGTTCTTATGATATGAGCATATTAAAGAGCTTCTTAGGTGGTTGTGAAATTTTGAATTAATAGCAAAAACCCAAAATATCTGAAGTAACTTCTGCTGTACTGTCATTAGTTAATTTTGTTAATCAGGACCTACTGTTTCATAGTTCTGATGTATATTCCATATTGCCAGGTTAGTGACTTTCTCTTTCTTTAAACCAGTATGTTAAATTAAAAACTGTATTTTCAAAATTATTGTGTTTTTTACTTTAAAGTGACATTTGAAGATAAAAAACGTGAAAACTTTGAACGAGGTAATCTGGAACTTGAAAAGAGAAGACAGGCTCTATTAGAACAGCAGCGTAAAGAGCAGGAGCGCCTGGCACAACTCGAACGGGCCGAGCAGGAAAGGAAAGAGCGAGAACGTCAGGAACAGGAACGAAAAAGGCAGGTGGAGCTGGAAAAACAACTGGAAAAACAGCGGGAACTGGAACGTCAGAGGGAAGAAGAGAGGAGGAAAGAAATTGAAAGACGTGAGGTAAGTGGCTATTGAATTGCCCATCAATGTTGCTTGTCTTGTATAGATGAAATAAAATTTAAAGTCATCATGTATTTCACCTATTTAAAAAAATCCCAAATGATTCTGATTCCTCTCTTGATACCAGCTTCTGGAGTCATGAAGCCAATTTTTTTCCTTGTTTTCATAGTATTTTGTTACTTTGAAGATAAATTATTTCATTCACTGATAGTGAATGGTATCCTTTAATATCTTTGTAGGTGGTTTTCTGCCATAACCAAAAAGAATTCATTACCTGGTTAATTTTCCAGTGATGAGCTTCTCTGAATATAGTTTATATGGGTCCTTGAATGACAGTCTACAACCAGGGCCATATGCTGATTAGGTTAGGAGGACCTCACATAGCTTGTACTTCACAAGTATAGCACCTGTGAACCTAGAATTATTTCCACACTATTATGAGGCAGCAGAGTAGGATTTATTTATACATACATACATACATACATATATACATATACATATACATACACATACATATAAAATAAGTATGTATCTTTGTCCTTTACTAAAATACGGCAGTGATGCTTTGAGTAGGGAAGGGAACAAGCATTATTAAGCACCTAGGTGCTAGGTGCTGTGCTAATCCCTTAATATTATCTCATTTGATCTAGTCTGGTGATATACTGTGATATCAGAGAATCAACTTAAGATTGGAGAAGCCCATTTCTAGACAGGGTTGGTCATCAGGTAATTAATATATTGGAACCAACAACCCATAAAAAATCTAGGAAGACTTAAAATGTGTCAGTGAAAGTAGTATCTGCAGTGATAAAATTATAGTTCAGTAGATATAGCATGGATGTACATATGTTGTATATATATATACATAGTCATACATACAAAATAAATGGTGGATCTTAGCTTTCAAGTATCAAGTTCCTTTCCTGAGAGTAAGTATAGGATATTTTCATGTGGATTTGCCCTGTGGAAAGAATTGCTGGATTTTGAGTGAGAGAGGGTTTTTACCACTTCTTACCTCCCTCACTTAATTTCTCTGGGACTCAGTTTCCTTTTCTGCCAAATGAAAAGGTTGGATTAGATGTCCTTCTAGCTCTAAATCTGTGATGCTGTTATCTGAGCCAATATCAAATAGTCTTGAAAGTTTGGTGAAAAGGTAGAGTTTCAGTTAAGAATAATTTTGGTTAAGGGACTCTTTCAAACTTGTAATAAATTTAGTTTTTTCCCTTACTGTCAACTACATCAGGAAGAGAAATGTTGTCTTTGCTTAGTATCAAATATATAAAATGTATGAAGACTTTATATCTTACTGAGGCCTAAGCAAAATACAATGCCAGTAACCTCTAATTGTATGCAAATGTAGCTTTATTCGATATTTTATATCTGTTTCATTTCCTTACAATGGAAAAATAATGTATATTCAATATTCAAAAGAGAAATGCCTTTTTTCCCTTGCTGTACTACATCTTTGTGCGTTTTCTACATATTCACAAAATTTGTATGTGACATTTTCGCCAAATTTGAATACTTGGCTAAAAATGACTTCAACTCTGAAAATGGAGTTTGTATCATGAAATAACATCATAGGAAACAAAACAAATCTCTCTTTTTCCCCCCTTTTTTCCCTCTTCCTCTTTCTTTCCCTTTTCCTTCTTTTCTCCTCTTCCCCGTCCCTCCTTTTTATCCTCCCCTTCCTCTGTCTCTCTCCCTTCACCCCTTCCATTCTCTCCCTCTCTCCCATTCTTTCCCTTTACCTCTCTGTCTCTGTTTCTGTTTCTGTCTGGCTTTCTGTTTCTGTGTTTCTTTCTCTTCCCTCTCTCCTTTCTTTTCTCTGCGACGTAGGCTGCAAAAAGAGAACTTGAAAGACAACGACAACTCGAGTGGGAACGGAATCGGCGGCAGGAGCTATTGAGTCAAAGGAACAAAGAGCAAGAAGACATAGTTGTCCTGAAGGCAAAGAAAAAGACTTTGGAGTTTGAATTGGAAGCTCTTGTAAGTGAAATTCTGTCACGCTTTGGTAATTGCCCTGAGACATAGCCCTAAAACTGGTAGCGGGATTTGTGTCAGTCAGTCATGTGCTGCTTTAATCACCAAGTGTTTATTGGCTCAGCGCTGAGAGGCTTATGTTCTGCTGGGGAGATGTGTTATGTTGATAGGTAAGTAAATATAGAATGTGTGTGAAAGAAATACAAGGTGATTTGGAAGGCAGATGCAAAAACAGCTGGGTGAATTAGGAAGAATTTTTTAAAGGAGGTGCCACGTGCTGAGCTTGAAGAAAGCTAGGGATTCCAAAAGGTGGAGATCAGGAGGGAGAGCCTTCTAAGGACGGGGGACAGGCTGGGCAGAGGCATGGAAGGCCATGCTTGGGGAACCTTAACCAGATCACTTTTGTTTGGCATGTGGATTGCACTGTGGGAAAACTATCTGTAATCAGTAACTTAGCCCTTGTTTCTTGGGTATTTTCTAGAATTTTTGGATTTTAATATTTTTATTTCATGATCATTAAACTTCTTGAAACTTGAAATGCCTTATTATTATAATGCTGTCTCACTGTGTCTTTTGTTGAAGAATGATAAAAAACATCAACTTGAAGGAAAACTTCAAGATATCAGGTGTCGATTAGCCATGCAAAGGCAAGAAATTGAAAGCACAAACAAATCCAGAGAACTTAGAATTGCCGAAATCACCCACCTACAGCAGCAATTACAGGTGAGCAAATCTGCCCATTTAGAAACTGAATTTTATGACTTTTCATTCAATATCTGGCCCCATCTGACCACTGAATACTTTATTTTTCAGAACCAGTCATGGTGAGTAAATGTTGTGGTCCAGCAGACACCAAATTCATATAGCTGATGCCTTACATTTCATCTTAAAGGATCTCAGTTATTTGTAGCCTGGAATATAGGCTAAATCAATAAATACTTGGTGGCCAGTTGATTGATTTTATCAACTATATAATATGGTTAAATAGATACAGATGTAGCATGTTCACAGCTCATAGTAATTTATAATCTAGGACACTGATAACATGATGTCCTGTAATAATCAGATAATAATATCCAGGTAATAATCAAATGATCGAATCAAATGTAATAATATATGTAAACTACTTTATAAACCTTAAAGTGTTAAATAAGTGTCAGCTATTTTACTATTATAATCCTAATTGAAATTTGAGTAGGACATCTAAAAGAAATACTGGATTTATCTCCTCCACTACTACACTACATTATGAGACAACCATAACCTTGCTCCATTTAGATATGGTCATAAAGTATGGTCTCCTCTGGTGCTATTTAGATTGATAGTACCCCACCATTGTAATGAGTCCTTATTCTGATCTCACATACTCAGTTTAGGACCCTCTAGTAGAGAAGGAAGAGAGCCAGTGTTCATTTGCATTCTCTCTATGATTTGGCAGGATAACATTCATTAATATTCATTACTGCTACTCTCCCACCCCTAAACCTTTCCTTAGTCCTTTGATTCAGGGTTCACATCGATCTCATGTTTAAAGCAAGGCAGGCACATAAATGTTCTTCAGGTTTCCTGTCTTTGAGCATATCCTCATTCAGATTGAGATATTGGGGGCATGGCCAGTGCAGTACCTTTTAACCTGCCACTTTGTATGTTATTCATACTTTGCTTGCTAGCAAATGTTTTACTCTTGTTTCAACAGACCTAGGAAATCTCCTGTACTTCTGTCATCAAGACAATAACTAAATGGTTGGAATGTACATAGAGATGAAGTATTCAGGGTAGTAATGATGTTATCTTGAGGCTAGAATCCTAGAGAAAAAGGGCTTGAAGAACTTCTTTCAGTAGCACTTGGAAATTCAAAACAAAAATTCACTAGCTAAAGTATTCTGGCTGACTTGATATCCTGTGATTTAACATAAGGAAAGGCCTTCTTAAACTGAAAAGCTTCCTATGGGTATGGCAATAAATAGGTAGATTGCCATGATCTGTTTCAATAAAGCATTGCTCATTAGGGCTTATGAGTAAATTCCTAAATGAGTTATATATACCTATACCTTTAATTTAAAAAGCAGTTAGAAACTCTTTTTAATTTTAAGTGTTCAAGTGCTTGGAGTTACCAGACTGAGTGTCAGAACACCCCAATATTTATCTTGGACAAGTCCCATAATTACTCAGTGTCTAGTGTTTTTAATGGGAATAAATTTATTTTGCCAAAGTTTTTTTTCTGCATCTATTGAAGGAATCATATGATCCTTTTTGTTATCAATATGGTCAGTTATGTTTATAATTTCACTAACAGTGAAACTAAACAGTGAAAGCCCTGCATACCTGTAGAAGTAGAGCCTGGTGTGATCTTTGTGATATATTATTATAGTGTCCTTGCTGACATTTTATTTAAAATGTTTGCATCAATATCCATTGGTCTATAGTGTTTTTTTCCTCTGTTTTGACTCTCTGGTTTAGGTATCAAGATTATATTTATGTCATGGAAGGACTTTTGTAAGGTCCCTTTTTTACTTATTTTTAAAAATAATTTATGTGGTATTGAAGCTAATTATTTTTTACATTTTTTTAATTATTATTTTTAGGCAATTGGAGTTCAGTGACTTGCCCAGGGTCACACAGCTAGTAAGTGTCAAGTGTTTGGTCTGAGGCCGGATTTGAACTCTGGTCCTCCTGACTTCAAGGCTGGTACTCTATCTACTGCACTACCTAGCTGCCCTGAAACTAATTATTATTTAAATGTTTGGACTTGAATCCACCTGATCCTGGTTTTTCCCTCTTTGGGAGTTCATTTATGACTTGTTCAATTTCTTTTTCTAACATAGAATTATTTAAGTGTTTAGTTTCCTTTTCTGTTAACCTGGGTAATTTATATTTTTGCAAATATTCATCCATTTCATTTAGATTGTTAATTGTAGTTGGGTGAAATAGCTCCTAATATTGCTTTCATTTCATATTCTTTGGATGTGAATTCACTTTTCTTAGTTTTGATGCTGATAATTTATTTTTTCCTTTCAAAAAATCATATTAGTTAATGGATTATTTTATTTTTTTAAACTCATATACTCACTTGATTTATTAATTTAATGGGATTTTTTGCTTTCAGTTTTATTATTTTCTGTTTTTATGTTTAATTGGGTGGTTTTAGTTTTCTAGTGTTTTTTTAATTGCATGCCTAATTTGTTAATATGCTCTTTCTCTTTTATTAATAAAAGCATTGTGGGATAGAAATTTTACCCTAAGTAGTGCTGTGACTGCATCCCATAAATTTTGATACACTGTCTCATTGTCATCATTATCTTTAAAGAAATTGATTATTTCTATGATTTATTCTTTGACCTACTTATTTTTTAGGATTAAGTTATTTAGTTTTCAAATAATTTTTAATCTTTGCTTCAAAGACCATTTGTTGTCAATATTTCTGCTTTTCTTCATTTATTTTATGTTTATCCTGAAACATATCCAGCTGAGAAATAGGCATATTGCTTTCTATTCCCATTCAGTATTCTCCAGAGGTCTGTCATATCTAACTTTTCTAAAATGCGAATCTGGCCTCCTCATTTTTTTTGTTAGATTTATGTAGATTTAAGAGGAGTAAATTGAGGTCCTCTACTATTATAGTTTTACCATTTCTTCCTGTAACTTATCTTCCTGTAACTTTACTTTTAAAGAATTTAGATGCTATGCCATTTGATGTGTATGCTTAGTACTGATATTTCCTTTCTATGGTACCTTTTAGCTAGGTGTAGTTTCCCTGTTTCATCTATTTTTGCTATTACTTTGTCTGAAATCATGATTGCTACTCATGGTTTATTTTTTTTTTTAAAACTTCAGCTGAAGCATAATAGATTCTGCTCCGGCTCTTTAACTCTGTTGTTATGAGGATCAAATGAGGTAATATATGTAAAACACTTTGCATAGTGCCTTACACATAGTAGACAATAAATGCTTATTTCCTTCCTTCCTTCTTTCATTCTTCTTTCAGTGTGTTTCTTGTAAACAACATATTGTTTGATTCTAACTTTTTTTCCATTCTGATATCCTATTCCTTTTTTTTAAGATCACCCCATTCACATTCACATTATGATTGTTAATTGTAGATTTCTCTTTATGCTATTATGCTTTTCCTTATCTTTTTTCCCTGCCACTGTTTAATAGTTTGTTTTGCTTCTGACCAATCATTCTCTTAATCTAAGCTCCTTCTTATTGTTCCCCTTTTCTTTATCCTCTTTTCCTATTATCTACCTGTTGGGTAACATATATTTCTATACTGTGTATGTATATTCTTTCCTCCTTTAACCAGTTTAGATGAGAGTGAGGTTCAAGTGTGAACCACTCCGCACTACTGTCTCTTTGTCATATAGACTTCTACTTGTGTATACCCCATTTATCTATGGTAATTTTCCTCATTCTTCTCTCTTCTTTCCTTCTCCCAGTGAGTATCTCTTCCTTACCATTTCTGTTCTTCTTTTGAGATAATCACAACATAAAATCATTTCCAGGGCCTTTGTTTCATTAGACTCCCTCTATTGAGTTTTTAGGGGCTACCTGAATCTCTCCATATAAGAGTTTAAGCAGTCTACCCTCGTTTTAGTCCCTTATGACTTCTTACAGTATTAAATTTTTATATTTGTATTGACTCCTCTCAGAATTTTTACTCAATTCTGTTTTTGTTTTGTTCTGTTTTTCATCATAAATGCTTGGAAGTTCTTTTTTGTTAAAGATCCATTTTTTTCCCCTGTAGGATTTTACTTAGTTTTGCTGGGTAGGTTATTATTGTTTACAAGCTTAGATCTTTGCCTTCTGTAATATCATGTTCCAAGCTCTCTGCTTCTTTATAGTGTTGGCTGATAAATTTTGTGTGATCTTGACTGTGGCTCCTTGGTACTTGAATTCTTTTTTTGGCTGCTTAAAATATTTTTCCTTGGCCTGAGAGTTCTGGATTTTGGCTATTATGTTCCACTTTTTGGGTGCTTTTAGGAAGTGACATGTAGATTCTTTCAGTTTCTACTTTTCCCTTTGGTTTTTAGACATCTGGGCATTTTCTTTATTATTTCTTGAAATATGCTATGTAGATTTTTGGAGGTTTTTTTTGGGTTATGCTTCCCCGTTAGTCCAACGATTCTTAAATTTTTTTCTCCTCAGTCTATTTTCCAGCTTAGTTGTTTTGATGAGACATTTCACATTTTTTTTTCATTTTTTGGACTTTATTATTTTTTGATGTCTAATAAAGTCAGCCAATTCTAATTTTCAGTGAATTCTGATGGCCAACTCTATTGTCTCTTTCATTTTCTGGGCACTGAGAACACTCCTCGTCATATAACATTCTAAGCTGCCTTGGGCTAGAAAAGTGACTTACTGTGACTTTTTCTTGGTGTTCCTGACCAGAATTCATCTGGTTGGTGCCTTTGCTAAATTTTTATGGGGTCCTAGGTTGTATTGCTTCCTCTTACTTGTCATCTTGACATCTAAGAGAATAGCATCGTTCTAGAGGTTTTTCTTCTTCCCTCAGAGAGAGAGAGAGAGAGGGAGAGAGAGAGATTGATTCACACTTTCACACATTAGTATTTTTCTGTAAGTTACTTGATGGTTTAGAAAGACCAAATTAATTTCAGTTGACCTTATTTTGAAATGGATATGCACCATAATATGTCTAGGCAACTTTCTAGAATTGTCAGTTGAAGAAATACCAAGAAACCAACGTGATTTTCTTGAAGATCTATCTATATTCCTTGTGTCTTGATATTTCCAGCAATTGCATAGCTTTAATCAGAAAAAGGATCTGAAAATGATTCACATAGAATGCCTTTTAAAGTGCCTTTATTTTATATGGAAATTGTATATGAAAATAAATCAGCTTTATTCAGAGGGAATTGTTCCAGATCTCCAGTTAGAAGAAAATTGGGTTCAAATCCTGCCTCTGACATGTAGTAGCTTTGTGACCATGTACGTCACTTAATCTTTTAGCCTTGATTTTTTCATCTGTTAAATGGTCCTGAAAAACTTATTACCTGCCTCACCTGTTTTACCTCACAGTGTTGTTTTTTTATAGGAATAAAATGAAATTATATCTCTGAAAGCTCTTTTCAGACCTTAAATGTCTAGTATTGTTATTGTTATTATGATTATTATATACATATTAATGTGAGTTTCCTCCATTGTTATATTTTTCCTTAACTGCTGGTGAACACATAGTTAGGAAATTTAGGGGTGATGACTATTTTTTAATTTTCCACTAGTGACTATCTCTTGACAAATGCCCATTGTACAAGTATATTATCATTATTTAAAAATTGGCATCATTCTATATCTAAAAATCGACACCAGTCTATTCAACTGGGCAGATTTGCCTACATGACTTGACACAGAATATTTTATTTACAAAGGCTTGTTAAAGTATATTTTCTTAACCTCATGAGTGTACCCCAAACCCCAAGATGTATGGTAATCATGCAAATGCCTGAACCTATCATGCTTTAGTAAACACGAATTCAGAATTAGAGACTGTAAGGAAAGACCATGTCTTTAAAAATCATGTTTAAAAGCTTAAAAGTCAGCAAGGTGATTTCAGTAGGACAAGCCATGTTATTCTTAGTAATCATGGATTTGAAAAGAAACTTTGGGCGCAGCTAGGTGGCGCAGTGGATGGAGCACCAGCCCTGGATTCAGGAGCGCATGAGTTCAAATCCGGCCTCAGACACATAACACTCACTAGCTATGTGACCCTGGGCAAGTCACTTAACCCCATTGCCTAGCCAAAAAAAAAAAAAAGAAAAGAAAAGAAACTTTGAGAGTGTTGCATGGCTCTTAGCCAAAGATTAATCTTCATTTAGAGTAGGGGTTCTTAACCTTTTTTGTCATAAATCCCTTGGGCAACTTGGTGAATCCTCTGGACCCCTTCTCTTAATAATGTTTTTAATTGCATAGAATTAAATACATAGGATTGTAAAGGAAAACAATTATATTAAAATAAACGTTTTTTTTTTCCCCATCCAACTTCACAAACTCTCTGAAATTTATAGTTAAGAACACCTGATTTAGAGGCAGGAAAGATGGGTAGAAATTTTACTCACCTTTCTATAGGAACAAGAATTGATTAAATATGAAACTTTTTATAATTTGAACAGAAAATAGTACCTCTTGGTGACTTCGAACTTTTGTCTTGTTTTCTGTATTGTCTGGAAATCACGGCAGATACTTATAGCACAGATTAGAGTTCTAAATACATCGTATATCAGGTTGCCCAAAAAGTTACCGTTAATTTTCCTTGATACACATAGGCACTTAATCAATCAATAGGAAATGTTTTCCTTCAATCACAAAAAGGTTGACTAGAATTTAAATTGTATATTTTTGTGATTATGTCAAAACCTTATCTCTATTTGGGCAAAAAAAAAAGCGTTGTTGGATGTTTTGACCACTAACGTTCTAGTTGATAAAAAGAACATTCTTTGATTTGTTTTCTAACTACAGAACATTGAAAGACCTAAGATTTAGTCTGATTAAATATAAACATTTTGCTTCAGTTATTCAACCAACTTACAAAAGGTGCAATCTCTCTTAATGTGCACATTCCATCCTGCTGAATTCTTGAAATCATTAATTCAGCTTTCTTTTGGTTGTTACTTGATGGGAGTTAAAAGTATTGACTACCATTAAAGCAGCAGTTAATAAATGCAACTTCAGAGAAGCCACAACTATCTCAACCATATTCCAGTGTAAAAGCAGTTGGTAAACTAGAGTTTCCTTTGAAATAAAGCAGGAACCTCTCTGACTCAAGATTCTGTTTCAACAATGAGGATTAACCTCAGAAAGTACTTTTTTATTTCCTATTTGAATAGCTGAGTTTATGAGGACAGTCTCTAAGACAGAGAAAACTGTCTTTTATGCCTTGCCTGGTAATTGACATGAGGACATGGTAATTTTTCTTACCCCATTATTGTATTGTTTTTTTTTTTTCTAGGAATCTCAGCAGATGCTTGGAAGGCTGATTCCTGAAAAACAGTTACTCAATGACCAATTAAAACAAGTTCAACAAAACAGTTTGCACAGTAGGTGTTTTGTTTTAAAAGTTTTCATTCATCCTAATTGGCCAGCGTTTTTTGAAATGTCAAAAAAAAGACATTAAGAGCTATTTGTTTACTGATTATTATCTTGGGTTTTGTTCAATTCACTTTTTTTTTTTTTTTAACAGGAGATTCACTTCTTACACTTAAAAGAGCCTTAGAAGCAAAAGAGCTTGCTCGTCAGCAGCTGAGAGACCAGCTGGATGAGGTTGAGAAAGAAACTAGATCAAAACTACAGGAGATTGATATTTTCAATAATCAGCTAAAGGTAATTGTTATATGTTTGTATATGTGTGCTCTTCCTTTTTCTGATTTATCTGACAATCGCTTTGTGTTTTAATCCTGGGCAGTAAAATTAATTAACCTGATTTGTCAACTTTTGCAAAAGCCTTAAAAGTTTATAGAGAAGGGAGAAGTACAAATTCCATTTTTTTTCCTATTGGAAAGGATGTGGAGGAAGAGAGAAAGAGACAGATACTGTGAGTGAGAGAGAGAGAGAGAGAGAGAGAGAGAGAGACAGTGAAAGAGAGAGAGGGAAGGAGAGAGAGACAGAGAAAGAGGGACAGGGAGAACAGGTAGGGAGGGAAAGACAGAAGGAGAAGACAGAGGAAGGGAATGAAGGAGGAGGGGGTGAAAAAGACGAGTGGAGTGGAGAGGAGAAAGAGAGATTTGAAGATTCCCTTGCATTTTAAAGTAGGACTGATTGAGTAGTCTAGTCTCAGGTAAAGTATGAATCAGTAATCTCAATATGATCCTGACACAGTTTAGGAGTTATCCACCTCTATCTTTTAGTGCCCATATCATGTTGACTTTTCATATGCAATTTGAATTCTCCCCATTAGTGTTTTTAAAATGCCATTATAAAGTGGCTTTGTTTTCTATTCTTTACCAAGATTTTTTGTGCTACATCATAACTTCATGACGATTTCTGAGTTTAGGTCTTTGTTTTGTTGTTTGGCATGTGGTCATTGCTTGTTTCTTTGTGGTACAAATGCTGTGCGGTTTGTTGTATTTGCACTTCAAGAAATAGCAGACTCTACTAAAGACTGATGAAAGCAATAGTAATTTAAAAACAGCCTCTTTCTGATATTCTCCTTCAATTCAACATTATTTTAAGTCACTTTAAGAATACCAATTGGTTTTATATTGCCAATTTTGCAATATAGTCTTGATTGATTTCCTATGAAGAAGTAAGTAGAGGTTGTGATTTTAAATATAATTTGAATCTAACTGGAAGTATTACTGCAAATATTTCTATTCTTTTAAATAACCCAAATCTTAGATTTTTTCACAAATATATTTCAAAGCTTTCATACTTGATTCAGACACAAAATTAGTCAGCAGCAAATAACTATCATTCTGTTTTCTCTTATGAAAGACAAACCTTACATGCTTTTTAATTTGTCCTTCATGTTCTTTCAATTTTGCAATTCTCAGTCAAGGCCTGCATAGATATCTGAGTTTGAGGCCTAGTGTGACCCTTCAAAAACATTTACATACTTTCTGAACTATACAGATTCAAATAAATAGACTTTAAGGGAAATGTAATGTGGCTAAGTTCTTGTGCGTCTTCCCTTGTTTCTTTTGCGTCCTTATGTGAAAGATTCCATATATACAGGTGTAGTCTATGACTATATATATAATAGTTATGTAAATGCTGTGAAAAAAAAAAAAACTGGCCTCTGAGCCAAGACAACCTGAGTTCAAATCACACCTCTGACTCTGACTGTCTTTGTAATCTTTGGTAAGTTACTTTAACCTCTTATTGCTCTAGGCAGTTCTCTAAGACCCTCAGTTTCAGAGAAGGTGCTGACCTACATTGACTGAGGGAATTTCCTTCTCTGGGATTTTCTTTTGTCACTGAAATCACATATCCTAGAGATATGACTACAACTTTGCCATCTCCCTAAAAATAAGCAATGCATAATTCTAGTCCTAAATCTCATTGTGACTTTCACTTGTTCCTTAAAGTTAAATGAGAAGATATTTCTTTGAGAGCTGAGTGTATTTAATAGTCTAGTAAGAAAATGGCCAACTTCTTAAAAACATGAAAATAAAGATTTGTTCTGTTGCTTGGGTTATCTGGAGACATAACTCAATAAAAGGAAGGTGCAAACAAAGAAATGATGTCCCCGAGGGCTCTTATAGAAACATATTTAGAAGAAACTAGGGATTAAATTGATATGGAGATTGAGCCAGCTGCCATAACCCTTCTGTCACTCCTCCTGTTAGCACTCAACTCTTAAATGGAGATAATCTGTTCTGCATATGAAGGGAATTGATATTGATTTCAGTGTGAAACTGTCATATACATCAACTAAGGTTGATCTCAAATTTTTTTTTTAACCAGAGCTTTTTACACTATACACCCACTTTTTAGATAAAATTAATCTGTTTTCTCTATAAAAGCAATCTAGCTTCCCACCCCCAGCCCCACATTCTTTTTGTCTTCAATACTAAAGCTATGATCTCATTAATATGAGTATTCACTCCAAGATTGTAACCCATCCACACCTCATTCTCACACATCCTATGTCGTATCTCTCCAGTGTCTTTGGGTGATCCATGACTTTAGTTCTTTGGAGATTTGGTATTTCATGACTCACAGCCATGCAGCAGCACTAGAAAAATATTGATGGTTTAAAAAGATGAGTGTGTGTCTCAGCAAGAAACTTAGGATCATTAAAAGACTAGGTAATTTCTTTTTTTTTTTTTTTTTTTTTAGGCAAATGGGGTTAAGTGACTTGCCCAGGGTCACACAGCTAGTAAGTGTCAAGTGTTTGGTCTGAGGCCGGATTTGAACTCAGGTCCTCCTGACTTCAGAGCCGGTGCTCTATCCACTGTGCCACCTAGCTGCCCCAAGACTAGGTAATTTCTTAAAGGCAATCCAGATTGCTCTCCAATTCCTGCTTAATTTGGGACCCAACTTGTTTTCTATCCAGTGTTTGTCAAAATATATATGCCAGTTCTATGGGTTTGCCATTCCTTTGGATATTATAATCTGAACATGAGACTGTCTTCATCTACTTGATTTTTCCATTGTGGACAGTTAAACCAAGTTATTTTTTAGTGATTATAGATTTCATTTAGTAGGTTCTCTACAGTGTTTCAGGGTTGATACAGTTAACACACAAAGTTGTCTGCAAACATGAACATCTGCAAGGCCCTAACCATCAATAGGGAATCTTTCTGCCATTTGAACTCTGTGCTATCATCTTCCATGATAATGGCAAATACTTTTGCTGAGCATCAATCTACCTGTTTTATGCCTTTATCATTTATAATAATAATAAAAGAGTTATCAAGCAAAGCTATCTTTGCTGTTATACAATTGTATGGGAGACACCTTGTTGGAGAAGCACCTTTAAGACAGTATTCTGTGTTACTGAATCTAATATGGGTTTTTTAAAGTAACCAAACAAAATGCATAGTTGGATATTGTGTTCTTTACTCCTTTCAGTCAACCAAGGTGTGGTCTGCTATAGAATATCTTCTGCCAGAGCCTGTTTGCCCTTTTCAAAACTTCATTAAAGCTTGCCTTCAGTGTCTTTTTAGGTTATTTTTATATTATGTAGATATGAGAAAGTAGGTATGTCAGTCAGTAATTATTGATAGTTTTCTCATTCACTTTTTTTGGGGGAGAGGTAATAATGACATCTGTGATTTTTTTCCCTAAGCATTTGATATTTTCCTTTCAGATATCTTAAGATATTCATTAGAGGTCAGCAAATTTTTAGTTTTGTCACCTCCAGTATACACCACCTCTATGTACACTTGGTTTACATGTGTTCTTCCTATCTTTGTTTCATTAGTGCCATTTTTACTTCCTCGGGCATTACATTGAGGACTATGATGCTTTAGAATCCTAGGGTGATGGCTCCACTATTACTGATGGAGGAAAAAAGGGTTTATTATAGAAGCCTTGACAGATCTTTTCCATTTTTCAACTGTTCTTTTTCTTCCTTCTAATTTCATCCTTAAATGTCTTTGGGAAGATTTTGCTTAGTTGGTTCTCTTGCCAGGCTTTCTGTAAATTTGTTTTTCTCTCCATTGCATCTAGCCATTTTATAGTATATATCAAGAATAGCCAACTATAAATTTATCTAGCATCTTCAGGTTTGCAGTACACTTTACATGTATTATCTCATTTGATCCACACAACAACCCTATGAGGGAGCTGCTATTCTTATCCCCATTTTATTGATGAGACTTGCCCAGGATTACACAGGCAGTATTCAAATTTAAGTCTTCCCGACTCCAAGGGCAGAGCTCTGTCCAATGTGGCACCAATCACCTTTGTGAAATAATTCTATTCACAATGATAATTTTTCTCCATAAAATTTTACAAATTCAAATGTGTATATATATATATATATATTTATATATTCTAAACTGGTATTGCCCTTACTTTCTATAACTTACTGCTTGGGTGGGGGGTGAATTCTTAAGCCTTTGCTGGTCCAGAACAGTTTCTAGGTTTCTTTACTTTCCTCATTGTGATGATTGATTTATATCAATGAAATTTCCTTGAGAAGAAAATATGATAATTGTTTTCATATCTGTTCTTTTATCCATTTCCTATTTGCTGCCATAGAAAGCTCATTTAAATCGTTTAGGTTGGAATATCTCCCAACTGATGGCCATAGTTCACCTTAATTTTTAATATTTGTTCTAATGTCAGTGTTGATTTTTATCTCTGTTCTAGTGAATTGGTGGTCTGACTAAACACAAACAGATGATTTGGAAATGACCCTCATTAGTAATCAGTCATTTTCTATCTGTTTCTATCTGTTAAAATATAATTAAGGTCATTTTTTGCATTGCTATTTGGTATGTTTCTTACTCATTGCTTTCTGTATCTCTTCCCAAAGTACTTGTGATGAATGTTTGTAAGGCTTCTATATATTGTACTAGCCTTTGGTCTTTCGTTTCTTACTCCTGAAGCATGTTTCCTGACATATGTTTTGCCCTATACTTACCTTTACATTGAAGTCACTGAATAGTAAAGCATATTTGATTTAACTCAGGAAGCCACGTCAGGTTCTTCATAGAATGTCTCTACCTTATCAGGTTGACTCATGAGCCGCACTTCTCTTCCTGGTGATCTTTTTGCAAATGTTTATCATTGGCACTGCAATACAAAATGATCAATATCCCAAGAAATGATGTTTCAAGTTGCCTTAGGTTACAAAATAAAACTCATTCCACCAACTCCTTTATTTGCACCTCTAAGGAACATCTTTGATCTTTTCTTATAGTGAGAATTTA